TGGGGAACAACTGAATGAGAATTCATCGAATAACTGATTTAAATGTTACAAATCCCTGAATTTTTCATCTCCTTTTGAATGGAATGCCAATGGGGATTAAAGACTACAGATGTATCACAAACAAATTTACATTATTAAAATTACTATAATCAGAGTATTTTCTAGCATTAAGCAGGATTAGTGAAAACAAACAAAAAAACTTTTCTACTTTGCAATACTAATCAAAATTCTATCAAATGGCAGATAACAGAGTAAAAGCAGGTTTAAAAATTAAAAATACTGGTTGGCACGTTATAATATTCTTTAAAAATATTTTTCCTTGCTTATGGTTCAGAACAGCTCTTGCAATGGTTTATATGTTAAGTCTTATGGTGAATAACAACACGTAAATATCCTGCTGCTAAATTTCATATATGCTGCAGGGTCCAATGTCTTGTACTTGGGAGCGTGTCACAGAAATGCACCGTTTAGGGTCCACGTGGATCACCCACAACTGTCTGCTTTGCTAAGAGGAAGCAGAAAATCTTGCTTTTGATGCATTAGCACTAGGTTTCAGGAGAAATGACTATATAGAAAACATTTTTCAAGTGTTGAACCATTTAATTTGCCCCTTAAGTATATCCAAATTGTGCTGTGTTGTGGTGGTCCCTAGTGCTTTGCAGACTGATAAAAGCAGAAGGGAAAAGTGGCGCATCGAATGCTTGGTTGTGTGATAAATCTATCTGAGTTGTGGAATGCTGGATTAGAACTTTAATGTGTGGGATGTGGAACGTGGAAGTCTGTCCGTACACGCACGCAGATCTCACAGCACTGACCTGGCAACAGACACGTTTGCTCTGGAGAAATGTGGAAATGTGGAGGTTTTAAGTGAGGTCTTCATTCAACTCACTGCACTGAGGCTATGGGGCGAATATAGTAAAGGGATAAAACTCGCAGGGATTTTTCTGGTGCTCTGCAGTCTTTTAGAGGGCAAAATGACGCTGGTTTCAGAAGCCACTGCTGTGCTCTGGAGCATCAGCCCATCTTCCTTTCACCAGAAACGCTGCCAATCAGAAACACATCAGCAGGGTCAGTTCCTGCATTCACTTCATCCTTCAGCTTCTACTTATGTATTTCTCTGAATTGTCTTCAAACAAAGAACGACCCTGAACACGGCCCGAGAACAGTGACCAGTCGCTCCGTAACGTCAGGGAAGCAAGCGCGGCAAGGCAGCCAGATTTGGACATTCCAGCTTTCCATTGGAAAAGCAGCTACACAGCCTTCCAGGACAAGACCGAACAGGATTCCCGTGATATCTTTCTATAAACTGCAAGGGATTTAACAGTTTTTTGCTCATACCTAAAGCAGATCGCTGCCTTCCGGACCGTCTGGCTTCAAACCTGTTGCTTGCCTGTATTTGGTTAAACAAGATTTTACCTTGCGAGCTGCTCAGCCCCACTAACGTCAAACCCTGACTGATGCAAGGCAGACTGAAAGCAGTTTCCAGCTTCGTATTAGTGAGTTTGATGTTAGTTTTGGTTAATAACTAGAATTACATATCTCCCAGAGGCAGACAGGTGAGCAGCATCTCCCCTCTGCATTTCCTCCTAATGACACCTCATACTGATTATTCTTGAAGTTAAAGAAACACTAAATAAAGTTAGAAAACAATATATTATCTTTAATTAAAAGTTGGCATTTGGTGTGTTTTCTATGAAGCATGAACATATCGAGATATTCAAGACAACAAGGTTAGTTAGAATACATGATCTGCATTTCAGTTGCATCTGAGCATACACCATAAATCCTTCTGTTTTCCTTAAAAAAAAGCAGCATACTTTACAGTAGTATTTTAGCAGAATAAAAGATTTTCAGCATAATGAAGCCCACCCTTTATATTCTCTGAAACGGCAACCAAAAGCAGACAGTTAAATCCTACCATGGAGTACAAGAATGAAAGTTTTTTCCTATGCCAGAGAAAGGGGAAAACCAAATGACAAATTACAGGACTTCACTCCCAAGATACCCATGTCCATTTGCAAAGCTAATGCTGACAGTTCACGCACACAAATGCGATAAATGCTGGTTTATTCCCTGCTCCGTCCCGACAAAACCTCCTTTCCTGCAGTTTTAGGCATTCACTTGGCAATGTTTTTAGAAGCAGCACAAAGCAAAGTGCAAGCCACACTGAAATAGATGCCTTCCTGTCAACAAGAAACGAGAAGGGCTCAAACTGGGTTGCAGCTCTGTGTGAAAAATAGAGTTAAAACATTGCAAAAGCCCATGGTGGCTAGAAACAACTCTCAGAACTGAATTTCATAATTGATTGAGAAGGTGGTCAACTTTGTTTAACCCTAATTTGGTGCTTGTTGCAGGAAGAGTCATTATTGGACTTTTTTAAGCATTTAAATAAACAGAATGTACTTCTGCAAAGTACAGTTAAACAAGGTTTTATGAGTTACTCTAGTATCGCTTTGGTAAGTTCTACATTTCTCCTGTTTAATACCTAGCCTTTTTTAGCAGTACTTCAATACTCACACTTCCTACTTTTTCTATGCGATTTGCTTTGCTGCACGTTTCCTTCTCTGTATTTGAAATTCAGTGTTTTAGCCTTCTGAGTATGAACAATACCAACTGATTCTAAGTGCTTCCCAAAAGAGCCTTCTGAATACTTCAAGGACTCCTGAAGGTGGATTTTTTTTTAGTCTCCAGATAGATATGGTAATATGAACAAGCTTTTTTTTCTCACACATTAAAGGAAATATCCTATATTGTAAGAAAAGGGTTAAATAATCATTGTACTAAAAATCAATGTTCCAGAATATGAATTGTTTGTAAGACTACCAAGATTTTTCCAGATTCTGACATTTCAGGGGAATCACTTTTTTGCTCAATTATTTTAAAAAGAAGCAATTAATAAAATTGTTATTAATACAAGTCTTTGACAAAAATAAAATCCATACATAATATTAAACAAGTAATATATTTTCTAGCTGTTTCAAGTCTCAATGAAAACTAAACACTTAAACTATTCTCCAACTGCTTGATTTACAGTTATTTTAACCAGAATTAAATATTTATCTTAAAATTACGATTCTGTGCTAAACTGACACTGTTTTCAAAATAGTTTGAGGCAACCACTCAATCTGCAGAATTTTAAGTGACTTTTGCTGATTTGCAGTTTCCAGTCATTTTTGTTTTAGTAGAGGATTTGATTGGCTTTAGCTTCATCAGATGCCTTGTAAGAATATTTTCAAGACTTTTTTTTTTAAGGAAAGAGGTAAAACAGATAAGCTGGTCTGTAAAACTATTCTGTGAGAAAAAGACAAAATGAAGATATAAAAATGGAAATGAGCAGGAACCAGTTTTAAGCATACGTCTTTATGAATGAGGCTTAATCACACACTTCGTTTTCCAAACACAAAAAGTCTCTTGGAAATGTATTAATTAAAATTAAGTGCCACGGTCAAGCAGCTTTAGAGGGACGGCAGTCCTTTTCAAATTAGCATAACACTAGCGACAGCCATGGAAATTGGTTTAATAACCTTAAATAGTTACACCCCAACCCTAACGCAAATGGCCACGGACAGCTCCAGCCCCTGGGGCTGCGACTGTACCAGTTTACGTGGTTGTTCTGACATCGGGTGGGTACTCCGAGCTGCACACAAATCACTGAACGCACCTCAATTATGATTATATAATGATTAGTGAAGCATACAAGGCACCAAAGCATTAAACGTAACAAAGCAGAAAACCCAAGCAAACCAAGACAACAACAAAACCTTAGCCGGTGTGGGACTCGCTCGGTAACTTGCAGCAATGCAGCCTGTTCTTGGCAAGAGACTGTTAGTTCAGAGATGATATCGAAGCAGCCCAAACCCCACACAAGTCTAGAGGCAAGTTGCAGATACAACAAAAAAACAAGCAAAAGGGAAAAGCAGCCTTTAAGTGATTTCCTTCCCTGCGTGTTTTAAATGGGTGCCCTTGGAGCTAAGCATAAGACAACCCCTAAAACACAGCTTCAGCTTTGAGGGCAAAGCCCCAAACACACCAGGCCAATCTCCACCTGCGTAACCAAACTCTGGGTTTAAGCAACATTATCTGTGTACTCAAAATCCACGAGACAGACTGAAGAAAAAGTCAAATCCTGCTGATAAAGAGTTAAATGTCCAGAGCTCTTTCATTTGCCTAACTTTACCATGCTAATCCTCTGCAAAGAGCTGCTGGGCTGTCTTCTCTTTTAGACCTCACGTCAGCAGGAGTTTTGCTTAGGCTGCCAACTGGATTAGAGACATGTAGGACAGAGAGATCGAGTATTCATATCTTTTATTTGTTATAAATACATATAAATATGTTAAGTGACCTTTTGTTTTATCATGAGAGATGACTTTGGAAAAAATCATCTGAAAACTCAACCAAGCTGAGAAACAGGCAAGAACGCAGGCAGCGGAATACAATCAAAGGCTTCTCTCAGTCCACGAGTGGGTTCTTACTTTGTTTTAAGAGAAAGAACAAGTAAATGCATCTTATTTTGAAGCACCTGTAGTTTTCTCAGTATCCCCCGCTCCTCCATCCCGTGAGCCGACCCACTGACATTTCCAGTTGGGATTTGCAGGTACAGGAAAATTCCCGCTGGCTGCACAGGAACCTCCTGCTCTGGATGTGCTCCTGAAACATTGCATAGCTCTGGGGATTTATTTTTTCCCCTTTCTTTCTTTTTAAAATAAACATTTTTACCCAGGTGGATCATCCTAAAGAAATCTCTCTGAGGTTTTTTTTCCAGGTGCCTCTCTCTCTCCCTTCCTACAGTTCGGTTGCCAAACTGCGCGACAACTTTGTGTGCGACAGCTCGCGGTCCATTAACAGGCTGGGAAGGAAATAACTCTACAGAAAATTGCACGGAGGGGAGGGGGATAAATTAAACGCACTTAAAAGTGTTCGAGGTCAAATAAATATTTCCAAACAGAGGAGGAGAAGGGGAGAGGGGGATGGCTGGAAGTTTAAGCAAGTCAAGAAAGAAAACCCAGACTTAACTGACGGTAGGAAGCCGGGGCTGATGGCAGTGGGAAGAAAAGCGCGCAGAAAACAGACAGACAAATGGAGAAAAGAAAAATAGCCCCCGCAGGGGAAGTGGCCGGGAGTCAAGGCTTGTCGCTGCAGTGTTTGCAGAGCGCCGAGGCGGCTCCGGTGAAGGCAGTGCATTTCTCGGGGCAGGCGGGCACGGCGGAGCCGCCGAACGGGTACACGGCCGCCTGGGCGAAGGGGTTGAGCGTGGCGGGCAGCGGGGCGCTCAGCGCCTGGCCCTGGTTCAGGTAGGCCACGAGGCGCCGCATCTCCTCGAGGGCCTGCGCCTGCATGAGGATGTAGTTCTTGGCCAGGAGCAGCGTGGCGATTTTGGAGAGTTTCCGCACCGAGGGGCTGTGCGCGTAGGGGATGACGGAGCGCAGCCCGTCCAGGGCGTCGTTGAGGTCGTGCATCCGCCGCCGCTCCCGCGCGTTGATGCTGAGGCGCAGCGAGCGCTGCTCCTTGGCCTTCTTGCCCAGGCCGCCCGCCTTCAGCTTGCCCTCGCGCTCGGGCAAGCCCGGGCCGCCCTTCGCGGCGCCCTCGAAGGCGTCCTCGTCGTCGCCGCTCT